CACTATATACTTATTAATTACGATTCCAAAATCACCAGAGCTTGGATTAATTTAATCAACAACGATGGGTTAGTTTTGGTTTTTGACTCAAAGATACGTATACAGTTTTCCATACATACTTTGAACAAGTAGTTTTAATTCAATAAATTATAAGGTTAAATACAAATTCTTTACACCACATGTCAACAAAAATGGAATATACTACCTACGTATATTGTTGAAATATTGTAATTGTTAGTTATGCCGACACAGATATTATATTGTATACAACAGACCCCACTATGTATTAATATCAGACACAATAATATGCATATCTGTATGTCTAATAAAAAAACATAACATCAACAAGTGCGCACATGAAATTTTACGATGATTGGGTTTAATTGAAATACACATTATATTTATATAGATACAATAGGTATGATATGTACAATATCCTGTGTTTGAATTTAATAATTTAGATTTATGTCTAAAACGTCCATAGTAAACTTATAAATGTTWACACTGCATCGTATTTCGAGATCATTTTGCAGTCAAGACACCTTCGACTATAAGGTCCAGCGAATATTTTCCGTTGCTGTTTTCAGTATCGATATTGCCACCAGACACGATGGACGGTCTATGGTCAGGATTGTTCCTGATGGTTTTTGYCGTGTACTGCGCGACCGGCCACGCAAGTAAATCAACAAAATATAAATCAATTCATTCAAAAATCAAAAAATATCGGACYGCGTTGTAGACGAACGGGAAACTAGGGAAATGCAGCAMGYGTGACTGATGAATTAAATCCTCCCGAGTGGTGTGTAATTTGGTATGTTCGGCCGGTACATTGGCCTCAGCTCAGTCYGAAGTAATATGGCTGAGGTCAAAAACATGCCAATAACGACTAAAGTATACTTTGTACGGCGAGAGAACACGACGCAGCTCGACGAAAGTCGATTCTTCTGCGCATCCCCTGCACGCGACACACTCTGCAGTGGAACCGATTTCGATGACACTACGATGGTCGCGTGCTTGGGATGTGTRATATCTGCTTGTTCTCTCAATGGACGGAGTACCTACACTTGCCGAAGGTTTTTAAAAAGTGTTTAAGAYGAACTTTTTTCATCTGGGAWAACATTTATGCTAGTCGTCCAAGCACGACCAACAGCGATTTCACCGGCGTTGTATTATGCTCTTTCCACCGAGCCGCTGACAAAGTTTTATCAAATAATAATATTAAGTAAACATAGGAATTATTTTGATTTTAAACTGCTTTTTATGATTAGTTCGTCAAAATCGGAACAATATAAATCCGCTACAAAATATTATCATCAAGTGTTTTCATTAATATCTTTTGAATTAAAATAGTATAAATAATTGACAAACTTGTCAAATTATAGGCTGTATAACATTGGTTAGTCTGAACATAATGTCAAATAGGTAATCATTTAGCGAAATTGTATCGAGTATTGCATTAAATACAAGTATAGGTAAGAAGTTAGAGCCTGCAGAAATATGCAACGAAAATTAGATATTTAACTATAACCAACTTATTCGATCTTAACTTGAGAGCTGTTTTACGTGGGAAAATACAACATTATTGTAATTCACAYAATATATTTAAAATCGGAATAATGTTTAAGAACACGGGCTTTGCACGTAAATATCGTCATTATAATATATAGTACGATATCTCAATAATCGATGACTTTGCAAAATATGATCAACAGACAAATCAAAACTACCAGACGAAAACATCACGGCTGGACACGAATTGAGAAAACAACTGTTACAAAATTACGACAAAGTAGTGGTGCCCGCTACAAGTAAAAAACACGTTCATATGAAAGTGAACACTGTATTCAACAGTGTGGAATTGGTTAAGTTCATACTTTAGTATTAAATAAATTGTACTCTTGCAAAACTTTACCWAATAACTAATTTACAGTATTRATTTTCGTTGAAATTTCACAGAGTTACGAAAAGTCTCATATGATAATTTACGCCTGGTTAAAAGTGGTATGTATCTACCTATAAACCATAAMACTTTACATGAGAGATACATTTATTATGTTTTAACATATTTTTTTAACTTATTCATATATGTATATACWATATATTATATTTATCATCCCTGAAGACGGATGCATAATCAGTGTAATTAATGCACACTGTYCCGCAGACGTGGATTGACGATCGACTGACTTGGAACCCGAACGATTACGAACAAATCAATTCCATAATGGTTGAACACCATGAAATTTGGCATCCAGACCTCATGGCCTATAATAAGTAAATGTCTCAATTTCCAATAAATAGATTTTATAGCACTAAAATTACTTAAATTTGTACAGCATGCCTAATTTGAGAGCAATACTAATTACAATTTAAAAAAAAGAAATGATGAGAAAATCCAGTAATAATTTCTAAAAAAAAGAATCATGAATTCCTGTGAAAAATTCTGTTTTAAAATTAAAATATTTTTTTACAAAATATTCGTTATTTAAATACCCAAACTTTTTAATTTTCAAATATTTTATACAAATATAACGATAGTAAACGTTTATTAGGACATCGTGCATATTAGGTACCTAAATATTTATCGTGCCAACTAACTGGTCATTAAATATTATACATATTATTATACCTTTTTTTTCTTGTTAAAAAAAAAAACCAAGAACGGGTGGGAACTGTTCATCACAATACTATCAGCCATTCCTGTATCGTTTATTCATCACCGACATAGCAATTTATACCTACAGATACAATGTTCATATTACTTATGAATTCCATAAAATCATAGGATCATAATACCATATACGCTAATAACCCRCGCAATACTCTCGTCCGCCGGGTGGGAGGATGAAACCACATGGTTTTTCCGTTCTCGTATAACAATAAATTATAATATTGTCGTTTCAGCATCGAGGCCAACACCGTAGTGTACGGATACACGCAGAGCCTCGTGTTCAACACTGGAGACGTGTTGTGGGTGCAGCCTGTGCAGTACAAAATTTATTGCAAAGCCGAYATGACTCATTGGCCGTACGATACGCAGACCGGAATGTTAAAAATCGGATCGTGGGTGTACAGCACGAACACGATAAATATGACGGACACCGCGCACGAGGTCTTTCGCGTGATCAATTTTCAAATTTATAAACCCCAACGGGTGGAGAGGACGTCACCGCAAGAACAAATCAAAAATTCTGGTCTATTATATTTTTTGTCGTTTTTTTATTTTTCTAGATCGAAATCATTTCCCCTCAATCGGAATGGCAGATATCTCGAATTTCCAGCGAGAAAATTACAAAACTCTATTCGTGTTGCCCGAACGAACCATACGACCACATCGAGTACAACATCACCATCAATCGCAGCTTCAAGAACTATCATCCGGTGATTTTCGTGCCGGCCTTATGCAAGTGTATTTTTTTCTCATAARCAACCATTGGTTTTGAYTCCAGCACCGCGAAGATTTTAATAATAATTTACGGTTGTTACCGAATGGGTTTAATAATATATTATTGACAATACCYGTAAACATTATTATCCTGTTAACTATATCCACCGTCTATATTTTCGTTACCTACATCAAATATGAATATTAMATTAAAATGCATAAACAAGAACCTATATAGRTACTCTGTCTCAAGAGAGAATAATCTGTCGGCCGATAAATGTACGTCAGTGCTACGCAACTATTACCAATGTCCCATTGTTGGCCTAATCACGTGGTTCTCGACGCACCAACTGCATCATTCACAATGTGCAGAAAGCGATTGTTCTCTTTTGAGTCCGATTATACCTAAATACCAATAATTGTTCACCCACATTATTATTATTAAATGTTTTTCCCTCGCACACACAGGTACAGCTCTCTTGAATCTACTGGTGTTTTGGCATTCGGTAGATGACTGCAAATACAAATTGATAATAAGCCTATTCAACGCATTGATTGTCGTCGTCATTCTACAAGTTCTGTATTCGAAAATACCTCTGGTACTATCCACTGTCCCGTTAATTGGTACGTATAATGTCGACACGGTTCATTATTTTTTCAATCGTTTCAGTGGATAGAGGTTAATGGTAATATACCTACGCGAACGAAATATGATTGTAACTGGTTTAAAAGATTAAATTACGTAAAGTGTACGYAATAGTAAAAGACTTTTCTTATTGTTTTTGACAAATTATAGCTTTATACTACACGTACAACCTGGGACTGATAGTTTTGACGGCTATAATATCAGTGGTGATAAAAAATATGACAATAACACGGAAACCACTTTCAAAACCAATTTCAAGCATCGTTCAATCCAAATTTATAGAGTTCCTAGCAATGGAAGTGAACGTAAGACATTATAATAACTGATTTTGTCCATAATTATGTTAAACTATAAATATTTATGTGGGTGTGTGTGTAAATGATTATGACTGATAAGATTTTCATACAAATAAATTTTGTTTAATGTTCACAGGAACCATCTTCGAGCAACGGAACTCAAAAYGAAGACAAAGAAATAGATTTACAATATATAGAGATAAACAAAAGACAGACATTCGCTAAAATAATCGATAAAATATGTTTTATTATTTTTTCAATTATTTATGTTATTCTTCTATCACGCTTTGTGTTTTAGTTGATGAAAATAATATATATATTTTTATTTTGTTAAGTTATTTATCGTTTACAATAACATACAATTTGGAGAAATTAAATAAAATGTTGTCTCGTATATAAGTGTGAATACAAATGTATTCTCTATTCGATTAAATGGTAACCTTGTTGTATTACATCCTCAGATATGTCTAATAATTCATTTTTATTTTCAAACGAATTATAATTATATTTGTGAATCAAATTCCATGATGATTGTATCGACTGATTACGACTAACAATGACTAGCGACAAGACGTGTATTTGGAAACAAAATTATTAGCTTTTTTTTTATTTACTATAAAAACGTTGTATAACTATTGTAGTTATCATAATTAAGAATTAAAACGTTGTGCGACTTTTGCGTTTATAGTTTTAGATTCTGAGCGGAGCGATGAATGTATTGATTATACAATAATGTGTGTGTGTATTTTTTTTTTGTGTCTGTGTACACATAAGTTGTCGAAATAATGCTTCGATTTTCGACTCAGTAGCTATTCCAGGTAAAATTGAATCTAGTTGGTGCATTGAGGAGGTCAAATTTTAAAATTCTCAGAGAAAAACAAAAAAAAAATATGAAAAAACAGGAATTTTTACGCAAAATCAATTTAAAAAAAAAATTACCGTTAACACATGAAATGTTTACTGAATGTGTGCGCTGGTACCTATGTTCTATAATTGATACATTTTTCAATATATATTTCAAATCTTTTTAAGTCATTTATAGACATTTGAAATGTTCAATCTTTTTAGTAAATTTTTATAATTTACAATAAAATGATATTCGTTTGGTAACAACTTTTAAAGTTTAATAYAAGGCTAATTATATATTGTTACAATATTAGTTAGAAAATATTAAAAATACATAGTCACATTTCTTTTTGATAAGCATGAAAGTTCGAATTTTGACAAAATACTTAAAAATCACGAAAATTTACAATTTTTTTAATTAAAAATTCATGAAAATTTACCTTTGTAAATCTTAGATTTGAAAATTCAATATAAGATTCTTTGTGAGTTTGTCTAATTTTATCAAATAAAAAATTTCTAAAAGTCAAATTAAAATTTTATAAGCATTTGAATTACAACAATAAATAATTTTAATACTCAATTTAATAATTTTAGACAATTTTATTTTATTGGATGTGCTATGTACTAGAGAAGACTACGAAATGAAGCTAAGAAATGAAATACATAACTATTTAAAATCTCGAGGTAGATGAACGGCAATAATATTTCTATATATAAATCACTACATAAGAACAACAGCACCTAATAAAAATGGTAGAACTCASAATAGGGCAATTATAGATATCATTTAGTTTAGTAATATATATATGAATAAAACGGTATCATAATAAATAAGATATTTAGATCACAATATTCAATTATTATAATATATGTATGTATGTGTGTGTGTCAAAATATAACCAAAACATTTAATATGATGGAATGACTCTTCACTTTCAGAATATAAAGTTGAGATATACCTACCGTAAGTGAACTTCGGTAAAATGTATATACATTATACTAGATTCACATTGAATACAATAATAACCAGTACCAAGGTAATCATTGGTCATTCTGCAGTTATTGATTATAAATTATTATAATAATAGAGAATTACATTTTTCGCTGAGCATTTATATTTATGGTTTGCGATTATGATGCCTTKTAACTATATTTGTTATTTTTCTCTTCCCAACCATATAGAACAACGGTTCTCACTAGGATTTTAGAAAGAGTCAAATGTAATTTTAGAAAATTACTTGTGGACCGCTTAATTTTTGTCATTTTTATTCTCATTTGTACATTGTACAATATGTATAAATTATTTTTACAATAAGCACAATAGATGGAGGGATACATAAGAAGGCTTGGTTAACTTGATTGATAAATAAGAATAATAAAAAATATAAAAATGTGCGATTGTTCACTAAATTTATGGAGAATAATAAAATGAGACAGAATTATATTTTATTAGGAAAGGGTATTGTAGTAAAAGTTCACGAATGACACGAATTTTTTTCTTGAACTTTGGATTTTGGATTTTAGAATGTACAATTTAATTTTAGTGCGGACCGCACTAAATTTGTTAAAGGGCCACATAGTGGGGACCGCTGGTGTAGAACATCAGTGGCTGGTCTTTCAGTTGATGTGGCCAGTCGTGCGAGATGTTAGTGGTTGCCTACTTTTTGCTGATCTAGAGTTAGTTTACCATTTATTATCCTAAAAAAGACCATTTTTATGACACGTGAATTGATGTGCGAATTGTGAGTGTAGCGTCTCTAACCATAACAATACTATTTAATACAGTGTTTCCCGAAGATGGAGAAATTCCTTTTCTGGGAAGAATTGAGGACTGCATTAGAAGGAAAGGGAATGTTGTGGTGATAAAACTRTTTAAATAAAATATGTTRAAATTATCAAATTTTATATCAATCTGCTATAATAATAAGTAATACCTACTTTTATAACTGTTTATACCTATTTTTAATTTATCTCATATTACTAATCTTGATAATAACAACAAAAAAAGCCATTAACCTTAAAAAAATTTAAGCGATGATGAGGAAGGTGAGTGATTTTTGAAAAACAACCTGGGGGAGGGCTTGTAGAAGTTAAATAAAACAACTTTAGAAACACTGATCTAATGCAACATACATTATATTCATACAAGCACAGTGATTGCACCAAAAAAACATCAAATACATATTGTTATCTTTAAACAAGCGTATGAAAAATCATACTAACAAAGTGTTTGAAATGTCACAATATCATAAGAAAATATAATAAATTACATATATTTATATAATATGTAGGTATATTTATATTATTCATATAAAAATATATCTAAGGTAATTTAAATGATAAACGCATAGTCTGGACACTTATAATTAGTGTAGATTGAATAAAATACGACAGCCATTTAAAGCCACCAAGRCTGAAGAGTGTATRTCACAATCAACATGTGACTGTTATTATGATGTCTTATATATACGACAATGAACTAATTAATGTCAAAACAAATTCAACGGCAAAGATGACATGGCGTACACGTGTACAATTGAAAAAAACATAACCAAAGCAATCATCAAGCATCGAACAAAATATTAAACAACAACGAAAAATAACACAACACGTCACGAGGCCACTATTTAATGAGAAGTCCCAAGTCCAATTTAACTGATGAAGATATCAATATCAGATTATGCCAATAATAATAATAATACAGCCATCATACCAATAGTAAACTTTTAAGTCTCATTTTTATTTTTATTTTTCATTTTAATAAATACTTATAATTTTTAATAGTAATAGTGATGTAACAGATGGCATACAAATACATCTGAAACTAATATCAAGACTTTTACTTTGAGAAAATTGTCCGAACGCCAATACAGTTTCTTCGATAAATMAAATAGACCTTATCTAGTTATTTAAGTCGTTAAACTTGTTCTGGATTCTAGAAAGTATAATATCAGTTGSCAGTTATTAATAGATGTACTTATTAAAACACGACATTGTTTTTGTTCGATTCCACAGCAACGCCACTTAAAATTTATATGAGTTTTGAATACCTCGAATGAAATTATTTAAATCAATTATTTGTCCATCCGGCATCCATCGGTATCACTGCAAGGGAAAGCAATGAAAAACCTTAGTATTTTTTTTTTGTAACATAGTACAAACTTCCAAAATTACCCAGCATCCAGTATTTACAAGTATATGTATCGAGTTAGAAATTATTGATCTGAAGACAATGATGACAATGGTGAGAATAAATAAAAAATATTCAAGGACAATATTCTGAGTTACTCCGATCACTTTTAATTGAATAATATGTCGTATCCTGTACTCAAGTGGACAGAATAACAAACACGGACGTTAGCAACTAAATTGTCCAGTATTCCGCGCGCACACAACATTTACACAACCGGTCAAGTTGTTTTTGCTTCGGTAGATTATTGTTGCCTGTGATTTTTGAATTATCTAAACAATGTTAGTCACTCGTCATATTGGATTGTTCATAATTATTATCGCTACACAAGCTACACCCTTGTGGGCGTTCCTCAGCTCAGGTAAGGCAATGTCCATATAACACGATTAAAATAATAAAAGCGTAATATTCAGCAGCATTAAATATTTTACGATCCTTGTAATTCTAAATAGATAGTATACGAGTTTATGTATATCTGTATTCTATATAGCTACAAAACAGTACAGGAAAACTTTGAACACATGGTTATAGCATTCARCGCAATATTGTATCACGTATCTTATAAAACATTATAAAAATAAATGTTGACTGCTTAAATAATTTAATCTATTGAATTATCATTACTATGTGGACTGTATAAACTATTAAGTTACATTTATAAACATAATATATATTTATATAT